ACCGTTTCCGCCGTTTTCCCGGCGCAGTCCGTCGGCTGCTCTTCTTTTTCGGGAACCGCGTGGGAATCAAGGGAGTTTCGATTGAGTTGCGAGAACTGGGGGAATTAGAAGAATCACGAGAAGGCAGGAAGCGCGACGAAGAAGCTCCGACCACGGGAACAATCGATTCGAACAGAGATTTCCTGAGATTTCACTTTTTCCTTGCGACGCGAGTTTCAATTGGTTACGTTACAAGTTGAATGTTAAAGGTTCTTCGATTTTCACGGGGAAACGACCGCGCGACGCGCGCCGGACGCGTTTACTTTCTTGTACGCGCGGTGGCACGCCGATTATCCGAGTACCGGTTATCTCAAGGACCGATTATCGGAGCGCACAGTGAATCGTGTAGTAAGCTTATGTAACAATGTTTATATTTTGGAACGCGTGTTCGTTGGTTCGTCGTTTCGTGCTGCTCGCGCGATTATCCGACGAGTTAATCGTCTCAACGAACTCTTTTCCCTTTCGTTTCGGATAACCGACTTTCTACTGTTGTCATCTTCGCGCTCCGAGTCCTTCTTCGTGTTCTTTTCGCTATCTCGTAATCTTGTTAACGAAAATTCTTTGAAATATACAAAACACTCAGCGGATAGAGTTAAATTATACGTTAATTGCTTAAGTAACGGAACAAAGAGAAACTAAGTGCTGATCTCTTGCTGTTCGAGGAATTAAATCATTTGTCTGGGACTTAATTATCGAAACACGAACATTTCATCTCGTTTGCAAAGGGTTAAACGCTTCGCTTCGCATTACTTCGGAGACCAACTGGTCGAGGAACGCTGTAAACGATTCAGAGCTGCGTTTTCCAACCCTTCCTCCAGTCGAACAGCGTTCCCGCCGCCGAAATTTCGCTAAAGAGGCGGCCGATAGAGCCCGAGCCGATGGTGGCAACCGGCGACGACGACGACGCGCCACTTTCACTGAAAATCTAAGCCGACCTCGCTTGGCACCGTGTCAGAATCACGGCTGTGCGAGCCGACGAACGCGCGCGGACTTCGGTCAAGTTTCGACGGCGGCTAGAACGGACGATGGGACTGCGCGTAGATTCGCATAGAATCGTCTGTTTCGCCGTCGCGAAATATAGACGAGGTTTTGCTCTCCTCTTTTCTCTTTTCTCCCCTCGCTTCACGCCGTCTCTAGCGTGTTTCCCGGCGGAAAGGGACTAATCGTCGTGTACTCGAACTTCGGGGATGTATAATTGTAGCACGCTGATGATTAGACTCGCCGGAATGTGGAATTCGTTCACTGGGAGATAGCTCGACGGAAACGAGTCTCTTCATTTTCGGAAAACCTATTCAAATTCAAAAAATTACGTGTATCTCGCCTGGTACACGATCTTTTCTCGCGCTCAATTTCAGTCAGAAGACAATGAAACTGCAAAATATAATTTCACAGACGCATGTTATCGTTCTCAAGATAATCTTCGGATCTCTTGGAACCAAGGGGTGGTTTCGGCCCTTCGAAGTGGCGGCCCGAAGCGTCCGCTGGCGCAACCGGGAAGCAAAGTCGAATTCGAGAACCCGCCGGCGACGCCTGCCGTTGAATGGGAATCGGCAAACGCGTCTGTTCATGACGTACCGTTTCTACTTCTCGCGAATACTAATGCACGCGCTCGGGACGAACTTCCAAAGTCGATTGCCTCGGACGCCAAGGTTGGCGCGGACAAATCTGTCCGTGTAGCGTCATTCTCGCGCGTGTACCGCCGGTCCGGAGAATCCTCGGATCGTTCGTCGGCTTCCAATAGTATCCCGTCGCTCGGCGGGTCTTCCGGCTGAAAGTCTTCGCTCTTACGTGTTACAAATCGGAGTGATTACTCGTAATCGGTCGGGTGCGTTGACTCAACTCCTCGCCGAAGAATTTCGTTCGAAACCGCGCTCGCCAGAAGGATTTTATCCTTAACCAGTTTACCGAAAGAGAAAGGAATTCTACTTTCACTGGGAGCCCGTGTTTACACTGAATTAGTACGATAATAACTAACGCTGTTGCTACAGTCTCGGTGATACCGGAGGGACGCGAAACATTCGTCGAATCGATATCGAGCAAACCGACGGCTACATCGACGATCGACTCGAAACTCGGGGATAAAATTCGCGATTAATTTCCGCTATCGTTCTTTCGATCGCCCTGGCGATACAGTCGCTCGGATACCAACACGGTTGAGTCGGTTGCCCGATACTTTCTGACTTTTGTAATTCTAATGGAGTAACGCTCTGTTTAGTCATTCAAGGATCTACTCGTGTCTTCGTTTTCTCTAGGTCAGAAAGCTCTTGTGTTTATAGCTTTCTAAATATATTTGAAACGCTTGGAAAACTATTGATCTCCTAAATTTTCGCTTTCCGGGCTTAACCGGCGGCTTCCTCGATTCGTTCTCGCAATTCCACGGTCGAAGCTCGTTTCCTCGGACCTCTTCCCTTAATTCTCCGTCCGCGGTGTAGGATTAAACCAGCAGAACTCGCTCGCTGCGCCCAGTCTCCTCGAAATCCGCCGGGCAGATAACGAAAGGAACGTTTCTAGAAATAGCGATCGCCGCATAGGTGGGAGATAAGCGGGAAAATCGTCGTATCGGATAACCCTGCGCGCATTCGCAGCTCGAAGGCTTCCGCGATTGCGAAACGTTTCGGCAGACCTTCCGTCGTCGCGGATTCCACGGTGCTCGCACAAAGGCGAGCGAGCGAGCGAGCGAGCTGGCGCGCGTGTTCACCCGAGGGAAGGTCTCGGCGACATTAGATATCATCCGCGCGGTGGCCGCGCGCGATAAAACGAACAGAAACGAGCCGCGGGGCCCCGGGAGAACGAGGAAACAATGAGCGGGAGACACGCGGGGCTTCCACGAGAGTTGACGCGCTTTCGCGGAGGTCAAATTCCACGCGGCTACGCGCGAGTAAGTCGCGAAACGCGCCGCGAGGGCACGCCGGCGAGCGACCTTCGTGGTATTTGCACGATCGTAAATAAACTGTGCCAATATATCTGGGATGTACAGTCCGCCCGCGACATCGATCGCCGTTCGGCCACCGAGGGGACGCGATCGGATGGGATTCCCACGAATTTCCGCGTCTCGCGAATGTACATTTATCGTCGTTGCCGAATATTCGTGGATTAACCGCACTCTGAATTTCTGTCGCATTTGTTCCTCGGTAACTCTGTGTCATTAGGATACTTGATATGCATTTTAAAAAGTTTGTAGAGAGCAGTGTAAACGATTCCTCTTACGAACAATATTGAAGATAATATAATCTATTCGAAGAATATCTTGACAAAGTCACACCTGTGAAGCAAACTGATGACACAACAGCGCGAAAGGTTAACCCTTTGCACTCGACAATATTTTTCGCAACTAACACAATTGATTATCTCCTATAGATCAAGAGACAGAACTATTCTACCTCGATGCTTTATGTGTTGTTACATCACACAAGGTTCAATATCGAATTGAAAATTTGAAAGTTTGCTGCGTCGAATCAGGTGGCGACTGTAAGGCGCCCCTCGGGTGCAAAGGGTTAATACTTGACGCTTCAAAGACGAGTGTCCTTAGGTGTGAAGCGTTAGTTCCATATCTAGAACCCAGAGCTACCAGTTGAGTATATAAAATAGAGGATCGGTACATTCTTCGATTGTCTAATATGCTACTAGAAATCTTTCTCTACAACGTAATATGTGATGGTTAATCGTTAACGAATAAGTCTCTAAGTAGCTTGAATAATTCACGCAGAAGTGTTCGTTTTCGAAATCGAAGTAGTATCGGTGAGCAATGAACGGGCACCGTTCGCATCGGATCGGCCGTGCGGCCAACCAGCGAGGTTCCCGAGTGAAACGATTTGAGAACCGCTGGTTCGCGGAAACTATCCGCATCAATGGGACACCGGAGAGCGATAACCGAATGTTTTTGTCGTCTAAAAAACTCGTCGAATCTTTTTCAACGGTGAATGAACAGGCGGGACCACCCCGGCCTCTCGTGGCTCTCCCATTATACTTCCGCGTACGTGTACTACTCGTAGTTAGCTCGCCGTAAGCGTATTGAAATTTGACACCACGTGCGCGAGTTATCATGAATGAAACCGTGACCTCCCGATGCCGCCTAGGTGCGAGGACTGGTCACTAGACGGCACTGCGTCCTACGCGTCTTTCCGGCGAACAGTTTTCCACGGGTAATTTCGTTCCTGCGGCGATTCGATCGGATCCCCTTATTTATAAACATTATCGAGTCGGCCGTCGAGCGGATCGAACCTGTAAACGATAAATTCGAATGGCAGCTCTCGACCGTTTCTGATCCCAAGCCCCATTGCGATTGCGCCTCTCCACGCTGCTTACCACTAGATTTACGGAACGAGCCAATTTTACTCGTATCGAATTTTATAAACATTTGCTGAACGTTTCAGTCGATTTCGATTGATTCAATTACGCGATTATGGTCCTCGATAATACAGTTTTAGACATTTGATTTCCTGGATCTAAGCGGACGAACATCAATCTTTCTGAGAACAATAGAATAAACTATAAATGTTTCGTAGAATCAGAGGAAACTAATTTCTCCCTTTTCCTCCTAATTATTAATTTTTCTGTTCGTTACCTGCTTAGACCAGGAGAAATCGGTCTGTATAAAATTTGTTTTCGTAAGAATAACAGTGTAATTGTTTCCGAATTGAAATGAAAGCGATTGGCAGTTTTCGACATGTTTGCGAAAACCCATGGGAATCGAACGGTTAGTATATCCTGCGAAAACATTTCGATTTTATTTCCGTACGATGTTATGTCATTTACTCCCCCGGAAGTCCAGGTGTATTTTAAATACGTAAATACATGTTTCCGGGCGAACAGGGTGTCACGGGGTCGCCATCTGTCGCGAACCATCCGAAGGTTCCATCGACCGGTGTATAACCTCACTTTTCGGAGCGAGGCGAGCGGACAGCTAGAAACAACCGAGAACCGCGTGCCGGGAGATCGATAAGCGTAATCGTGTGTCTTACCTTGATGGGGTAAAAATCGTCGCCTCGAACTTTCCCCTTGCCCGACGTCACTCGGCACATTTTTCTTCTGAAATAAACGAAACAAATGGGAGCTGGGCTCTCCGGGTCTGCTGATAGCAGGGACAAGGGCGCGAAGGGAAGCCACGCTGACATACGCACTTTAGATCGACCGGATAAACCCGACAATACGGCCTCGAACTTGGAGACATTGTCGTACACAGGAGCTTTCTTGTTCGAGATCGACTTGGCCGAGTACAAAGCTTTCAGGGGATCAAATTTCTCACTCGTCACGTCCAAGCTCTCGTCGGACGTGCTGCTGTCCTCCTCTGCCATGTCAACACTGGCACACGCTGCCGGTTTTGCCGCGCAATTCGAATCTCGCTTTTCCCTCGAATGAATTAACCGTTACCTCGTTACCGCCGTAGTTGTTTATTAACATTACGTTGTTACCGTGATTTATTAACCGGATAATATCTATCGAAATCATCTGAATATTTATTATACGATTATACGTGTAACGTGGTAATTAAGTTAGCCGTTCGTTAAGAGAAACTACGTTTTACTTTCTATAGGAAAGATACAAAGCAGTTATTAATTCTTCGATAGGAATATTCTTATATCACCGTATTATCTAGTTATTTGCACGGGTAGTTTGTATTCGAAATCGATTATCCTGCCGAGTCGTAATTATCAATTTGAAAGCGGCGGTCGGTGACCGTGGCAGTCAAAGCGTTAACGAATGAAATTACCGTGGAATAAATTACCGTGCGTAATTCCTGTTAATTCAGTGAACGTCTCGAGACGTCGTTAGATGTCTCTCGGTGAGCGCGGGATCGATCGACGGGTCGATCGGTGGCCGCGTGAAGCGCGGCGCAGTACGTGCGAATTTCACCTGCCACGGGAGATTTCGATCGGGAACCAAGCGAGAAACGAATGCTCCGAATTACATTCCGGCGGCGAGCGATATTTGAATAGGTAGGGAGCCCAGAGGATGTTAACCTCCACGGAACGATAGAAACTTTCTTTCGCGGCTGAGGAGATTACGTAAAGGCAACGCGCCGCGTAGAAGCTGCATAGAAACGCAGCGACGGCTTCGGCTTCGGCTTCGGCTTCGGCGACGGCGGCGGCGGCGGCGGTGGCGGCAGGAGAGTGAGGTTACGCGCACAGGAAGTGAAACAACCCGCGAGCCAGAAAGAAAGTTTTCACTCGGTGTTTTCACTTTCATGGAAATGCCAGCGTTCCCCGTTACACGCTATACTTAGGCGAATCAACGTCCGATCGGGATTGGCGGTCGCTGCTCGCTCGACGGCTCGAGGAACGGATCGAGCCCGCGATTCGTCGCAATTAAACGGAATCGATTCGACTTCTCGGTATCGATGATGATCGATCTAAACCATTCGCGGAATGGACGCTCGAGTACCGGCCGCGCGCTCCTGTAACGGGAGAAAGTAACGTCTTTTTCTTCTCTTTCCGCTGGTTAACCGAGGAAGACGAGTTTACTCGTCGATCGCGGCCCGTCCGTCTGGTAATTCTTTTCCATTTTCTCGTTATATCACTCGGACGTTCACTTGCTCGAGTCGTTCTAGAATTTTCTTTTCGCATGGGGGTGGAGGGACCACGTGTCAACTTGATTGATGTTCAACACTTCGCCAACATATTGTCTTTTATTCTGTTTATCTTTTCTTTTATTATTTAGTAAGTCTTGAAGTGGGATTAATTACGATTCATTAAATACGGCTCTTTTACAAAAGTTTCTAATTCATCGAATGAGTTCTATCGAAGATAATGGAGGAGGTTGTGGTTATAGTTCTTTTTAGGTCGTTTAAGTGTTAATACGATTTCAGATTAAATGTTTATTCGAATATTCGTCTAGGTTCAACACTTTCTTTATCGTAAAAGTATACCGAGTCGAACCGTTTCTAACCGTAGCAGATTTTGGCGGTAATCAGGAGTCGCGAGGATGAAGTTAGCCGCGGAGCGAGTCGAACGGGAATCGGAATTTCGAATCGAACAATCGATACGATTGAAATTGTACGTTTGTTTCAGGGGAATTGGAACAGTGTGTAGCTTCGAGCAGAGAGAAAGGTCTGCGGTGCAGGACAAGGAAGGAGGGCGAAAAGTGGGGACGTTTCGGAGGTGGTTTTGGATGTTAGAAAGCGCGGGGGTGGCTAGAGAGGCCCCGCCGCAGGGTACGGGTCCCGATGCCGGTCCCCGTATCGCAAACCCTCACGCTGACCTCCACCCTCGTGCCCAAGGAGGAGTCAAACATGCCCTTCATAGACGACGAGCTACTCTGGTGCCCTGACAATGACGGCAAAATGGTCGATTTGACGCAATGTCTTCAGGTTCGTATGGCAAGTATGAATACCGGTACTCGAACGTAAACGATGTCCCGATACATTAGACGAGGTAAAGTTAGGACAAAACGAGATACAGATTTGTGCAAGCCTAGACGAGATTGGACAGGTTAGAACTCGTTCAGCTACTGGCTTTCCCGCCGAAATCTACCGACACTTCGCACACACTGTTGTCCAAGCAAGAAACATTAACAGATTCCGCGCCAACGGACATTTCGGTTATATCTTGCTCATAAACAATGATTTCTTCAATGATAGATTAAGGTACATTCTAGCTTTCGCTGATCTTTAATATATTCTGATATTGTTTCTCTATGTTTTCCTTGTTTCGCGACGTGTGCCACTATGACGCATGTCTCACAACTAACGTTTCCTTACGAACATTCCGCGTGTACCATAAATGGTACACCGTAAATGGTACACGTGGCACGGGACGTGTTAACACGTTAAGCGACATGGGAGTCTCGACCATTTTATTATAGAGTTATTCCGTTGTAGCGAGAAAAAGCAGTACAATGATTAACACGTTGATTGCCACAGGATTTTATAGAGCAGAATACACAAAATGGAGGAAATATGATATTCAATTATTTGATTGGAATGCGTTATTGTTGTTACATGTTTGTCTAGCTGAACTTACAGCATCGGGTAGCATTGGTTATAACATAAATGTTTTCAAATGATCGTTTAATTGAGTAAATTATGGTAATCCAATTTTGTTGGTCACCGGTGACCCCATGGCATTCAACGTGTTAATTACTTGGTGTTACTATCCTTGCATTACACTGTTATCAGCTTAGTCGTTATTGATCCTTTGCACTCGAGAGGTGATTTTGTCACCTTATTTGATTTTCAAAATGAAGTCTTATATATAATATTAAGCTTTATATGATGCATCAATATATAGAATATTGAAATAAAATAACTTTCCTTCTTAATTTCTATATATTTTCTCATTAATTAGTTTCAAAGAACATCTGATCCAGTAAAAAACTTTCGAGTGCAATGGATTGAACGTATTCATTGGACATCTGTTTCCAAGTAATTCTGAAGTGTCAGTAATTCATAACTGGCATGGCGTTTAACGTGTTAGTTACCGGGAGAAAACGAACACATCTGAACAGGATTTTTCTGTCCTACCAGGAGAGCAGCACAGGGCAGTCGGTCGAATTTTCCCCGATGGAACTGAGTGCCCTGGTGGGGACGCCAGCCGCTCCAAACATGCCGGCGGAAGAGGGCGAGGGGATGGCCGGTGTCACAGGGGAGGAACCCTTCGACACGCTGGACACGTTCCTACGGGAACTGCAAGCTGATCTAGCCGAGGCCAGTCAGCCCACGTCCACCACATCTTCCGTAACCGCCTCCTGTAGACGACAAAGGTACAACATCGCGGCCGCCAACCCCCTGTTAGCAGGTACGAATCTCGACCAAATCTCATTCAACACTGGAACTACCAGATGGTATTCTTCTACAATTGTTAAGAACGCAATAGATCCTTCTGTAAAAAATTTCCAAAGAAATTGTTTTAGCAATACGCAAAGTTTTGATTCATGGAAGTTTCATTAGGTGCACTCTTGGGGTTTCTATAGAGTAATTTTGAAAAGTCAGCTTGACTGCTTGGTAGTTCTAGAGTGAGCTTCATACACAAGTCATCACCTATGATTCTGTTTATTCCCGGTGTAGAAAAACTAGCAGCACCTTCGTCGCAGACGTCGCCAGCCTCCATCCCCTACGCGACGAGGGCGGAAATCAAGACGGAGAACATTCAGCCGGAAACCAGCAAAGGTAGGACACGCAACGTCCGTTCTCCGGTGATGGGTAGACTGCATGCTTCAGGGGTGTTTGTCTTACCGCGCTACGGTAACAGAGTCCACGCGAGATCTCTGTATTACCGACAAGGCCAGTTACCCTATGGTACCTCCTTCGCCAGCAGTCATCACAATGACTGTCCACCGTACTCTGTAGTGCTACGGTAGCACTCTGCCTTACCGATTCGTTGGTGCAGTAGGTTCCGTTTGCCGGATGATCGATGGACGAATTACCCAAACATGGTAACGGGCAATGCTAATGGACACGCGCACGGCACTCCCGCTCGAGGAGCCGAACTACTCGCGGCATTCGAGCAATGCCGATTCGCTACTCCGAAAGGGAAACCGGCCAAGGCCTCGCGAATCGCGACCAGACATCCGCGTTAGCAATAATTGCGCCTGCGTTCTTGTGCCGACGCGAAAAAAAAGGCAGGCGGGTCGGCGTGCGGCGCGCTCGCGGGCGCACACGTACACGCGCGGGGCCGGGCGCACGTGTGTACGCGTTGGCCCAATTCTTACAATTTACAGCCGTGTCGTAACGCGCCGCCGTACTACACGCGTACGTACCGCGATTTCGCGATTGCTCGCGAGTCCGCCTCGAGGATACGCGTCCACGGGGGAACGTGCAACGACCGATCGCGAGGAGGAACGCGTTCCAGGCGACCTTAGGGCTTTCGCGCCGCGCAAATATTATGCGTCGGATCGCGCGCACCGCGGCTTCAGGTGTCGCTCGTTCCGCGGCGATCGCGAGACGAGCTTGTTAAAGAGGCTCGCCGTATACGCGCGATTTCGATGAGTATCTATTTCGAAAGATGCGCGCTGCAGACGCGTACACCGACGCGAGGAATGGCTGCGCGATAGCGTGACATAGGGAAAATTAACCGGTTAACCCTTTGAGGTCGAATGTCGTTTTGGCGATGCGAAGTTTTCACGTTTAGAGTACGAAGTTATGAACAATCGGTTCGTTCGAATAACAAGAGATGTGCAATTGAACTTCTATGGAATGTTTTTAAATGTTTTTAATACTGCAACCCCTCGTTCGCAGTGATCTGCGTTTGACGAATGTACGCGTCACCTAGGAAAGTACTAATTCCTGCGACAGATTACTCTTTTCTTGAAACGAACACGTAGTTCTCGTTAGCGTCGCGCTAGTTTCTTATTGCCCATTGAGCATCGAGCATGCATCGATTACAATAACTCCTGTACAAATAACTGTCGCGTGCATACGGAGCACCGCTTAAGCGGTAACGACCTTTCGTAGGCCGCGTGAGACTCTTAGCCTTTAACCCGAGCGTTCGTAACGATCAAGCAGGTGGCACTTAGCGGCCGCCTCATTGATAACGAGGCCTTCGATCCGGTCGATCGAACAATCAGAGATCCCGACTCGCCTTTCGAGAAATCCGCTTCGTTTCCACGTTGCTCGCCGCGAAACTCGGGTTCCCGGTACGCGAATTTCGTGAAGCCGTTCGAACGGTTCGCGGTAAAGTCGGCGGGCAGCCCGACCGCAGGCCGCGGCCGCGGCGGCCAATTACGTGCCGTTAGAACGCGAATCGGAATGGGTGCTCGCCGTTGTTCTTTTCACATTTTTAGAAAGCGGTTGGAAAGTGAGAGACCGAACTTTCTAGCAATACTATTATAAATACAGATCAGACTAGCACGTCGAACGAAATATCGGCCGAAATCTAGTATCTCGTCGACGGAACAACGTCGACCGTCGATGCCCGCGTTCCCGTTTCGCTCGTGCGAACCGAAACACGTCGACCAGCTTGGTTCCCTTTGATATATCCTTCTATCCGAGGTCCTCCGCTCGCGTGGGCGAGATCGGCGGAGGTCCAAACGAATTCCGATCTCCATCGCACCCACTGAACTCCTTAGCCGCGGAAAAGAAGAGAGCCCGAGCTCGCCGGCACACTCTCGCGCGCATTTGCTCGGTACGTCGGGCCCGACTGTCTCGTCTCCTCGACACGCATCACTTTCGCCGTGTGCATCCTGCGTAACCGGCAAAAAGTGGATTTTCACGTAGAACCGCAGCCGCGCGCGCCTCTCGCGATCCATCACGCGCCCGCGAAAAATGGCACGACCGATTTCCCATCGAATTCCTCGCCCCGATCGCTCTCGAACGCCCATTCGAGCTTCTCGAAGATCGGCTTGAAACGGCGCAAGCTTCTAAACGCACGATCCGAGCGGAGTACCATCGCGCCGCGTCCTTCCACGAAGATTCGACGACGTATAAATATAATCGCGATTATTGTCGGCCGAAAGGATCGAGTTTCGATCGCGCGAAAACGTCGGGCTCGGGTAATGCACGCGCGACGAGGGGACTCGCGTTTCTTTACCCCCTGTTGCACCCAGCTGCGCGACTCCGCTGCACTTGTCGCTACCCTCGTTCCCTTGACCCTCTCCAAACACATAAATTCTCCTCCGCCCGTGCCCCCCGTCCCTCGCCCTCTCTATCTCTCGCTCTCCCCTTTCGGCCGGCGTTCCTCTCCTCGCCCTCCGAGTGTTTCCGTCTCACGACACTCGGGTTAGGGCCCCACGGAAATAGATTCGAGACCCGCCGTTTCGTCTCTCTCTTTCGCGGCTCTGCGCTCTCGCTCGCTCCTCTCTCGCTCGCCCCTCGCCGCGTTTCTACTTCTCTCGCTCGACGAGAAACAGGTGCAACCGATGGCGGAGGACGCGCGACATCGATGCGTCTTCCTGCTCGACTTCGGGTACCGATCCTCCGACCGCGTATTTACTTCCCGCTGCCCCCGCTTGATCGGAGAATAGTTTATCGTCGAATCTTCGTGCCCCGATTGGTAGAAATCGTTCAGAAGTATTCCGCTCGTGTTTACCATTTTTCGTAGGCCTGCGATGCTTCGTCGTGTCTGCAAAGTGGTATCCTATGAATCGTTACACTCTAGTTCCGCGTTTCCCGTGTGCAATCTATGCGACTCTAAGGAACTATTCGTTACTGCGACGCTTAAGTCTGTTCGCGGATCGACGACGGTCCTCGATCTATTTCTAGGTCCTTCCGACCTTGGAAACCTCCCTTAAGCCTGAGCACTTGAACCTAGACGCATTATCGTGGGATTCCAACGTCTTGGAACCGGATGTAGCTCGAATCCTCCCCCGCTCGAGACTATCAGCCCCGAGAAGGGGATGACGCGAGGGTTCGAGGAGCGACGAGCGCAAGAAAGAGCGTACGAAACGGGCACACGCGAGGCGTCGAATTACGCGGAATCGCGTGTAACCGGTGGCCGTGTTCGAGGGATCCTGGATCGTTGGGTAATCGGCTTCCTCGTATTGCCACACGGTGTGTGCCAGAACGCGCGCGCCGTGTTCCGTCCCCGTTCCACCTTTTTCCCGGCGACTTCTGCTCTCCGTTTCGCTCGCCCGCTCGCCAGCTCGCCAGCTCGCTCGGTTCTTTGCAGTCCGATAGCAGCGTTTGAAAGTGAAGTCAAGATGGCCACTTTAAAGACATCGCTCCCCGCGGCGTGCACGTACGCGCCGCTCGCGCACCCATACACCCACACGGCCCTCCCGTTTCCGCGCCGTTTCCCCCACGTCGCCCGCCCGTCACACGTACTTACGCGTGCGTTTTCGTGCGTGCACACGCTCGCCAGCTCGCTCGCTCGCTCGCTCGCTCCTGGCCGGCGATAGCGCGAGCCACGTAACGAGAGTGTTGACATTTTCTGCAATCGGGTCAGGGCCCCCTGTCGAGCACCACGGCATCACCTATAACCCCTCCCGAAGCGGCCCGAGCGCGCGAAACGACTACCTTCGACGCGAGCGCGGTTTCCACGGGAAACCGCCGGATATCTGTCGCCGCCGGACCGTATTTGCGATCTTGAACGCGCGAACGAGATCTCGCTTGGATGAACGTTGCTCCGAAGTTAGGATTGCGTAGGTTTCCAGCGATGGGAGACGAAGGGATTCAGTTTAAACCGAGGAAGATCGGTGCGCAGCTGTTTTTCGATTACTCGAGAACGCATTCCAAATTCGATTCGAAATCGAACCACGCCGAGGAGACGTCTCCGAAAGTTAGATCGTGAAAACGGCACGGCAATATCGTGTGCATCTAGGCGATGAGTCAACACGGCGCCTTTTCCCCGCGAAAGGATTAAAACAGACACGCGGAGCCAACGGGACGGGACGGGACGCTTCGCAGCATCCGTCGGGGCCCCCTTAGAAATCTTTTTTTCTACTTTCACGAGCGCCTCCTCGCCTCGGCTCGCCCATCCGCGTCGGCGTGTTCCCAGCGTGGAAAGTAAACGTCGTTTTTCCACGGAAAGAACCATCGTTCGTTCGTACGTTTCCACTCTCCAGCGAAGCCGACAAAGAAGATTCTTTTCAAAACCGATCTCCTTTCCATTTTCCAGTACCGAGCATTCCTCGATAACATCCGAACAGCCTATAATCTCGCAGTATCAATCTCTTTCGATCTTCGCGAATTTCCTCGCCCGCCGATTTCTGTCAGAAATTCGGAGCATCGCGGTCCGGGAAGCTCCGCGAACCACCTGTTGGAGATCCAGCGGCGCTTCCGCGAACGTGCTTCCATTCCCACGGAGTTCCCGCTGGAAACGCGGCTCGCATCGATCGTCTCGCTCGCGGTTTTTCGGCTGCTGATCGCCGGCGCCGATCGGCGATCCGCGTGCGAGCTAAAATAAGAAAGTCGGCGGACCTCCGGGACGAGTTCCAGCTACCGTGGATTTCAGGAAACTCGGAAAGCGGCACGGATTCCCTGCCGGAAGGGGATCCCGCTCAAAGGGACTGTCGAGGAAGTCTCCGATGTAAACAGGGTCTGTGTATCGGAATCTTCTGAAAACCGGAGCCGCTGCACGTGTTGCTTCTCCCGCGTTCCCGCTTCGGCCGCTCCGGAATTCCGCCGCTTTTTTCCCGTTAATCCTTTCCGGGACGCGCACCTGACGCGAGTCTTCTTCGATCCTCACCATCGATCGTCGTCGCGCTTCTGGCCGCTCGCGCGAAAGTCGCGCG